CACATACACTCCAGGTTTGTTTTTGAGGAGGACACAGTATTATGAAACGGCTTAAACCTCACAGAAACCTTTTTTTGTGTCATAGAGGAACTTTTAAACGTGTAATTCCTCAAAGCAGTGTCTTCACATGGACCACAGGCTCCTCTGAGTTCCTGGTGCAGATGCAGGAGCCACATCAGAGCGTCTGTGGTGGGACCGGCCTCTCTCCAGAGACACGTCACACTCAGGGCTCCTCTACAGTGTCCCTCGAGGGTCAAACCACAGCTCCTGATGATAGGGTTTTTTTCTGGTGCTTCTGGATGGTGGGAAATGTCCTCGTGAGTGTTACGCGGATGACTTCATCCGTCAGAGTCAAGCCAGGTCAAACTACTGCCAAAAGTTTTTTTTTTTGGATCCTGTCAGTCACGAAATTCAGACGATATTTTAACAAAGCATCAGGAATGTGAAGAACGGAGCCTAAAATTAACCCCAAAAAGTGCAGAAATGTCAGTTACTTCAGCTTTTTCTGTAATTTTTATTTATTTAGTTTATAGACAATATGTTTGTATTATATGTCATTAGGTTCTTTTTTCAGACCAAGGGTTTGTTTTCATACCTGACAGGTTCGACTGCTCACTATTGGTCTTCCTGAGATGTTGCTGTGATGTGTCCGGTCAGCTGATTTATACAGGTTTTGGCGCTGTCTTCGCGTTGAAATATTTTGGTCGGAGGCAAGAAACACGGTAGCGTCAAACACAGTGCGTAACCTCGCGTATTTCTCCCCGATAATGGTAAATTCCTGCTGCATTATCGGATGCACAAATAGAAGCACGGAAGAAGGAAAATGTCTTTTTCGTATTCCGAGTGAAAAGAACCGCTAACGGTGAATTAAACGACTTTCAAACATCCGCAGAGCAAACGTAGAAGATCCTAACAAACCGTGGACTCCAACAAGTTCAGCAACACATCGAGACTCTTGGAGGTTTTCATCTTTTCTGCTGTGAATGGCCCAGGAGTTTCCACCAAGTCATTGTGGATATCGCCCAAGTGAATATTTGTCCAGGTAGTTGGCGATTCTGACCAGAAATTTGGTTTGGTCCAGGCTCTGTCAAGGTTGAAAAATGTGATTTGGCGTCAGTCGATGTTTATGACCAATTTCTGGTCAAATGGTCTTGGGTCCTCTGCCGTTAGAGTGGATAAATAACCGGGATCAATACCCTTTACGTGCTTTCTCGCTCCGTCCGTCATGTTGAATTAGTGTTTCTTGCCGCCAACCAAAATAATTCCCAGTATGCAAACGCGCGCTTTTGTCAACAATGAAACTCGCCTATAATGAATCAATTTCCAAAGCCCGATGAGTTTTTGGAATATAGACCAAAGTTTATTCTTGTTACAGCAGATATGGACAGGGCCTAGTCCTGTTCTGGCCACAGCCCAACAGCGTCTCTCCACCAGCAGTATGTCCCTACCACATCTTGCCCCATCTTCCAAGTATCTGCCCAGTATCTCCCCAGAGCATTTGAGTTCTGAGTATTTATACAGAAATACAACCTACATACATATCAAAGCAGAGTGACTTTGGTTTCAGAGGCTGGTGCTAAATGAACATACAGTTGAGGACAACAAAGGTCTTCCTGAAGGTGGAGACAGTTGTGTTTGATGAACCTTTACACATGTTCATGACGGATCTGAGTTTCAGGTGCAAATCACATTCATTTACACAAAGACAGAATGAGAGAAATCTTTCCACAATCTAAATTTCTATCACAGGGAATGTCTGGAATGTTTCACAGTATGACATTAAACCTTTCTACCTTCATGGAGACCAAACCAGACCAAGTTACTGGTCAGATTTGTGGAGAGGCGACCCATCCCCCCCATGAAACCAACTGATCGGTTACTTGATGAACAGATGAATTATATAATATTGTTTACTTTTCGTATGACATGTACTGCAAAAAACAAACAGCACATCTTTATAAGAAAGGGTCAAATGGGAGAAGAAGTTGTGTACACGTTTTATGAATTCTTTCCAAAAACACACAGAGTCTGGGCAGGTCCAAAATAAGTGAGAGGTGGTTTAATTTTTCAGTTTGTGTCCATTGTTCTTCTCAGATGATCCTTTAGCGGAAAACAGCGATGTAGAAGTTTATAGCAGATTTCCTTTTGCTTGTTGGTGATGAGATGTTTGTGAGGTCATGTCTGTACATTTTTCCATGGAATATTGTCAGTAGAGTCGGGGTCTCACAGCGCACGAGTAGAGCTCCGTTTGGCAGGTGCAGGAGTAGAGCTCCGTTTGGCAGATGCACGAGTAGGGCTCCATTTGGCAGGTGCACGAGTAGAGCTCCGTTTGGCAGGTGCACGAGTAGAGCTCCGTTTGGCAGGTGCACGAGTAGAGCTCCGTTTGGCAGGTGCACGAGTAGAGCTCCGTTTGGCAGGTGCACGAGTAGAGCTCCGTTTGGCAGGTGCACGGGTAGGGCTCCGTTTGGCAGGTGCAGGTGTAGAGCTCCGTTTGGCAGGTGCAGGAGTAGGGCTCCGTTTGGCAGGTGCACGAGTAGAGCTCCGTTTGGCAGGTGCACGGGTAGAGCTCCGTTTGGCAGGTGCAGGTAGCTCCGTTGGCAGGTGCAGGAGTAGAGCTCCGTTTGGCAGGTGCACGGGTAGAGCTCCGTTTGGCAGGTGCAGAGTAGAGCTCCGTTTGGCAGGTGCACGGTAGGGCTCCGTTGGCAGGTGTAGGTGTAGAGCTCCGTTTGGCAGGTGCGAGTAGGGCTCCGTTTGGCAGGTGCAGGAGTAGGGCTCCGTTTGGCAGGTGCACGAGTAGGGCTCCGTTTGGCAGGTGCAGGAGTAGAGCTCCGTTTGGCAGGTGTAGGTGTAGAGCTCCGTTTGGCAGGTGCACGAGTAGAGCTCCGTTTGGCAGGTGCACGGGTAGAGCTCCGTTTGGCAGGTGCACGAGTAGAGCTCCGTTTGGCAGGTGCAGGAGTAGAGCTCCGTTTGGCAGGTGCACGGGTAGAGCTCCGTTTGGCAGGTGCACGAGTAGAGCTCCGTTTGGCAGGTGCACGAGTAGGGCTCCGTTTGGCAGGTGTAGGTGTAGAGCTCCGTTTGGCAGGTGCAGAGTAGGGCTCCGTTTGGCAGGTGCAGGAGTAGGGCTCCGTTTGGCAGGTGTAGGTGTAGGGCTCCGTTTGGCAGGTGGGTAGGGCTCCGTTTGCAGGTGTAGGTGTAGGCTCCGTTTGGCAGGTGCACGAGTAGGGCTCCGTTTGGCAGGTGCAGGAGTAGGGCTCCGTTTGGCAGGTGCAGGAGTAGGGCTCCGTTTGGCAGGTGTAGGTGTAGAGCTCCGTTTGGCAGGTGCACGGGTAGAGCTCCGTTTGGCAGGTGCAGGTGCAGGTGCACGGGTAGAGCTCCGTTTGGCAGGTGCACGAGTAGGGCTCCGTTTGGCAGGTGCAGGAGTAGGGCTCCGTTTGGCAGGTGCACGAGTAGGGCTCCGTTTGGCAGGTGCAGGAGTAGGGCTCCGTTTGGCAGGTGCACGAGTAGGGCTCCGTTTGGCAGGTGCAGGAGTAGAGCTCCGTTTGGCAGGTGCACGGGCAGGGCTCCGTTTGGCAGGTGCACGAGTAGAGCTCCGTTTGGCAGGTGCAGGAGTAGAGCTCCGTTTGGCAGGTGCACGAGTAGGGCTCCGTTTGGCAGGTGCAGGAGTAGGGCTCCGTTGGCAGGTGCAGGAGTAGGCTCCGTTTGGCAGGTGCAGGAGTAGGGCTCCGTTTGGCAGGTGTAGGTGTAGGGCTCCGTTTGCAGGTGCAGGTGTAGGGCTCCGTTTTGGCAGGTGCAGGAGTAGGCTCCGTTTGGCAGGTGCAGAGTAGGGCTCCGTTTGGCAGGTGCAGGTAGGGCTCCGTTTGGCAGGTGCAGGAGTAGGGCTCCGTTGGCAGGTGTAGGTGTAGAGCTCCGTTTGCAGGTGCACGGGTAGAGCTCCGTTTGGCAGGTGCACGGAGTAGGGCTCCGTTTGGCAGTGCAGAGTAGAGCTCCGTTTGGCAGGTGCAGGAGTAGGCTCCGTTTGGCAGGTGCACGAGTAGGGCTCCGTTTGGCAGGTGCAGGAGTAGAGCTCCGTTTGGCAGGTGCAGGAGTAGAGCTCCGTTTGGCAGGTGCAGGAGTAGGGCTCCGTTTGGCAGGTGCAGGAGTAGAGCTCCGTTTGGCAGGTGCAGGGGTAGGGCTCCGTTTGGCAGGTGCAGGAGTAGGGCTCCGTTTGGCAGGTGCACTTGTGCTGATATTCGCTCTTTTTCCGCGGCGACTCATTATAAGACGAGTTTAATTGACGATGAAGCCGAGTTAGTTCCTTTTATAAAGTTTTTCAGAGTTTGTGCAGCGTCTTCAGTCACGCCTGCTCAAGTCGACATGTACAGGTGCGGCCCTGTCCTGCCACTTCCTCAGTTTAGGCTCCTGGCTCCACTAATGACATCACTCTGTTACAGCCAATAAAACAGCGGCAGGTGTAACCCTGTCGTCATATCACTGAACACATCTCAGAACGTCTAAGAAACAAAATGTGAACTAAAACCTGTTCAATTAATACAATTGAGTTTGGAAAATATCAGAATAAATGTATATTTTTGTTTATTAAAGTAAAATGGCAAATATTAGTAGGGACTATTTTGTCTTCCCCAAATATTGTTGTGAAATGTCCCCACCGTCCCTACGCAAACCTACACCCTTGCTTCAGAACAATAATTGCAATATTATCAATTTTTCGATATATCACCACCAAAGATGGGCCAAAGAGCCAAAAAATGTTCTCAAGTACTGTTATTTCAAAGTAATATACTGAAGTAAACTGAAGTTGAAGTACAAAGTAATGGTCCAAGAAGTACTTTAGTAGGAGTTTATTGGGAAAACTTGTCAAGCAGTAACTAAAACTGTAATGTGACATCTGATGTATAATTTGAAGTTTGAATTGTATTTGAAGGAGCAGTGTAAGAAACTCTGTCCGTCCTCCTCCTCTGCAGGACTGTGTGTTTCTCATGACGTTTGTTTGTCCTTCACAGATGCACGTCGTCCACTTTAACTCAGAGAAGTATCCGAACATGTCTGTGGCGGTGGATAAATCGGACGGACTCGCCGTGCTCGGGGTTTTTATCGAGGTGAGAAACAACAACACAACACGTGCGTCTTTATACAGTCTGTGAACGATGATTTTGAACTAAAATGTGCCTCTAAATGTGGCTGAGGCTCAAATATCACATAACATGGACATAGAGATGGCTGATATCTTTATTTTTTTTCATGGCCGATGCCGATTGTTTAGAAAGAAACTGATGCTGATGTTTTAACGGTGTTGTTTTGCTTGTGTTCATATTCTGTGGTTTGTGTTTTTACTGTTTTAATTTATCTGCTTGAATGTGTGGATGAATTCTGTGCACTCCGGGCTTATCACTTCCTTTTTCCAATGTGGTTTTATTAGAGGTTGGGACATGCAAGTCGTGACTTGGACTCGAGTCAGACTTGGGTCACTTTTTTTTTAGGAATTGAGACTTGACTTGATAAAATGGACTAAGACTTGGGACTCGATTTAGACTTGAAAGTCAATGGACATGCCCGTACTACAGTAATATACAGTAATATACAGTAATATATATAATAAATATACAGTAAAACACAGTACAATACAGTAATATACAGTATAAGCACAACAGAGGGATCTACAGAGAACATGATCCTTTCATTTCATTGCAGACAAAATAACTGTTATTAAACACTTTTAAATCATTTTTTTCTGTTCTGACCGTAACGATTCACACTCAAATCTTGTCAACATTTAAAAAAGAAAAAATAGCATTTCTACAACTCTTATATATAAATATACCATGACTTTTTAAGTACAATTTAGTTTAAAATTCATATAAATTGCAAAAATCTAAGCTCTATTTGGTACTTTGGTTTAAAGTCTTGAAATGACTTGAAGCCCAAAGCAGACGACTTGGACTTGACTTGGATTTATGGACCAGTGACTCGAGACTCGACTTGGACTTGCTTGTATTTGACTTGGGACTTGACTCGGACTTGAGGTGAAAGACTTCAGACCCACAAAACAACGACTTGGTCCCACCTCTGTTTTTTTTTTTTTTTTTTTTTTTTTTACTGCAAATGGCAAATAAACTGAACTAAACTGATAAACTGCAGATATTTTTGAGCCAATTTATATTTTTTCTCAAATCTTTTTCATTTAATTTCCCGATAAACTCACCCACATGCACAAATGTTTCTCTGTAGTTATAGCGTAATAATAAATGATTGAAAACCCCGTCTGCGTCAGTCTCCAAACACCTCTTTGATACTCTTTGTGCCCGGGGGTTTAAGACGTACTTTGAGCTTTAACGTTCTGATCTTGGCTCATGTTTCTTTCACAGATCGGTGATTTCAGCCCGGCTTTTGATCAGTTCCTGAAATTCCTGAACGGCGTTAAATACAGAGGTAAGAGTCGGTCACATGTTCTTTCCCCGCTCGGCTCCGGCTCCGAACACGTTGCACAAAAACCGGAAAAAAGCAGAGCTGTTGAAATCCGGGCTGAACGGCTTCAGTAACGAGCGCCTGTTTCTCCTAATCTGTCTCCTCTGGTTTTATTGTCGTTTGTTTGTATTGTGTAACGTTAACTACTGAACTTTGGCACCTCTTGGTAGATAAAGTAATAATTTAATAAACAGGATTGTAAAAGGATGAATTAACAAAGCATGTGAAAATATATGTGCAGAAAATAACTTAAACGAAGAAACAAAATAACAGGATTAACAAATATCGTGTTTTGTGCCAAAAACCGGGTCATGTAGGTCTATACAAAAAACAAGTGACTAAACTAAGGGACACAAAACAAAATTGAATCCCGAGTGTCCCAAAATAGTCACATAAACTCACAAACAGAATCGAGTGACAAAAAAAATAAAAAATTAAAGTTAGAAAATAGAGTTACATATTTTCTGATTTGTTCTAATGTTGTTTCCTCGTCACAATCAGACCTGGAGTTGTGTTTTTGTTTCATTCGCACATTTTTAACGCACAAACCTGCAGATTTAGGCTTTAGAGTTCTTCTCTCAAACTGAAAACACTCTGTTCCACCTTGTGATGTCACGTGGTAATACAAGAAGTGCTCCTCTGTGTTTTGTAACTTCATACACCTTCACTAGAATCATTTGGATCACTTCAGTTCTGGAGTTTCCAATCTCTACCAAGGCCTTGTTTACAGATACACGGGTATTTTTTAAAAACTGAGGCATTTCCCTTCATTTGTTTCAACTTTTACACACAAATTTGCAACGCAAATTCAACTCTGAAAATTAATCTTTCTGAAAACTCCAGCTCAAGTGGAGATTCTGGAAAACTCCGGTTTGGCGTTTGTGTGTAAAGTGAGATTTAGGAGCTGACGCGCCAAAAGTGCGACCGGTGTTTCCCTTTTGCCCCACCTCCGTAACCTCGGCATCCTCTTTGACCAGACCCTTTCCTTTGAACACCACGTTAAACACATCACTAAAACCGCCTTCTATCACCACCGGAACATCGCTCGTCTCCGCCCGTCCCTCTCCCCTCAGTCTGCTGAAACCCTCATCCACGCTTCTGTCACCTCCCGCCTCGACTGCTGCAATAGCTGCTCTACGGTTCACCCTCCAAACTCCTCAATAGACTCCGGTACATCCAGAACTCTGCTGCCTCCCCGCCTCCTCCCGTAAACACATCACCCCTGTCCTCAGAGATCTCCACTGGCTCCCCATCCCCCAGCGCATCCAGTTCACACTCCTCAACACTGTGTACAAGTCCCTCCACAACCTGGCCCCCGACCTGCCTCTCTGAGCTCCTCCACCACCACCACCACACCCCCGCCCGTGCCCTCCGATCAACTGATGCCAACCTCCTGTCTCCCCCCGCCAGGACTAAACATAAAAGACCTGGGGGAAAGGACCGGGCCTTCTTCTCCGCCGCTGCTCCCTCCCTCTGGAACTCCCTGCCCAAACACATCAGAGACTCATCCACATGCCCCATGTTTAAAAAAGCCCCGAAAACCCATCTCTTCTCACTTTAACAGATCTGTGGAGAGGCGAGCCCGCTCACTAATGCACGATTTTCAAGATATTTGCGAGTAAAACTTACAACTGTAATGACATAAAAGCTACAGGTTTGAATCTAATCCAGGTGCCGCCCAGAGACTCGGTGTAGTTTTGACGATGCTCGATGACGTATTTGTGCAGGTTGATGTAAATGAAAACGGTGCTGTGTGCACGATGTTATTTTGGAAAACGGAGGGAAGGAAATATTTGTTTCTCAGCATACTGTGTAATTACAGCCTAAACAAAACGTAAAAGGAACTGTTAACTTGAAAACTGCCATGGCTACAGCTGGTATCATTACGAAGTTGTCGACACGATACATACCTCGATACACAGACCACGATACGATACGTTTTTCGATTCAGTGAGCTTTCGATTTGATATATTTCAAATCAATTCAATACAATTCAATAAAAAATAAAGACTAAATCACGTCTGTGACACTAAACGCCTTTGTTATTAAACCACTTCTTGTGCAAAATTAATATGAAACACAAACATTTAAATCATCAAAACAGTAAAAATGTCAAATATGTTGCACAAAAGAGTTTCCTTCCTCTAAAAAAAAAACAACAACAAAACTGTAGCTGTAACAAAATAATTTTGTAAATTATACAAAAAATACTCTTGGTGATATATCGATACAGCAGCTCACGATATTGATACTGTATCATCACATTAAACAATACGATATACTGATATTTTGATATTTTTGCACAGCCCTAACCACTACATGACATCACAAAATGGAACAGAGCATTAATATAAAGAGTTACTCAGACGTGTGAATGAAACAAAACACAACTCCAGGTCTGTTTTTGAGGAGGGAACAACATTATAACATGACTTAAAGCTCACAAGAGTAAAGTTTGTGTAATATAGGACGTTTAAAACTTGCCTTTTTATTACCTTTGATTGTGTTTTCTGTTCTTAAGGTCAGAAAGTGCAAGTCCCCGGTTTCAACGTCAGAAATCTGTTTCCTTCACGCCTGGACGAGTATTATCGCTACGACGGCTCCCTGACCACGCCCCCCTGCTACCCCAGTGTGCTCTGGACTCTTTTCAGAAATCCTGTCACCATATCTCGCTCTCAGGTGAGTGGACAATCAACAATGCTACAGATATTGTCGATTAAAGGTCCTAGATTACGCAAAATTGAAAGAAGAAACCTAAATCTGCTGTTAAACGTGTGAATGAAACAAAAACACAGCTCCAGGTCTGTTTGTGACGAGGAAACTACATTAAAACATGGGAGAACAGTGTAATCTGACCCGTGTGTTTGTGTTTTGCTCCAGTTCGTGTCTCTGGCCACGGCCCTTTTCTCGTCACATCTTCAGGACTCGACCCCGGAGCCTCTGAACGGAAACTTCAGGAGACCACAGGAGGCCAACAGTCGCGTGGTGCTGGCGTCTTTTAAAGAGGGTGAGTCTGACCTCTCCTCGGGTCAAACCGTGACCCCCGCTCGGGTTAAAATAGTCAAACGACCGGTTTGGAGCGCTCCTCTCCTGCATGGCTCCTACTCTCACCTGCCTGTGGTGGAGCTCTGGAGGACGGTGCTTCTCATTAACCTTCACTTAAGTATGGCCTCTGGGACATACTGATTATGTTCTCCTCTGCTGTCTGCACCTCTGCGCCGCAGGGCTGTGAAGCATGTTTCACTGTTTTAGTTCTGCACTTTGGCTTTTCTCCTGGCACCTTTCTCTGGAACCGCTTCATGAGATCGCCTCTCCTTTGGCTGCCTCTGAAGTCTGTGATCGTCTGTGGATTCTGTGATGCGTCTGTGGAGCTCGTCCCACCTGAAGCCTGTTTAAACTCTGTGTCTGACAGGCAGTGGACTTGGAGCTCCGACCATCACCCCTCGCTGCATGAGGAAGCGTCTGATCCATCAGCTGATGGTGGGGGACCTGGCCGATCTGGCAGACGAAGGCCTGTACCAGCTCCTGCCCAGCGTCGCCAAGCTGCCAGCTACCAACAGGAAAGAGCAGCGGGCACAGAGAGGGCACAAAACCCAAAAGAACATGAAGAATTGGTCTCAGAGGAAGAACCTCTCTGTGGGACCGGACCAGGCCTTGTGCTTTGTGTCTGTGGAGCAGCAGGTGTCGCGTCGGCTGCACCAGTCTCATGCAGATCATCTCCTCCTCCAAACTCTAGAAGATGAAGTGTTCCCAGAGCTGAACCTCAGGAGTTACCTCGACTGTAGGTCCGACCTGGCTCTGCCGACCATCAGGCACATCCTGAGCTCTCGACCCACAGACGAGGCCTGGGAGCTGGACCAGTCTCTGACCAAAGCCCTGTCCGGTCAGAGGAAGACCACCGCCCCCAAGAAGAAGAAACCTCCGACCCACAGCCGCAAACAGGCCCCTGAGAGCGTGCCCAGGAAACCCCACGGCCACGGACACCCTCACCCCTGGCTCCTGCCCATGGAGTGGGAGGACTGAGCAGATCTACACGGAACTTTCACTTTCAACCAAAGACACTTTATATTTAGCCCAAAGCTGCTTCATTCTTTGCTCAGGAAGACGTCTTTATTATATTATATTCTATTCTAACTAAACTATTTAATCTGAGTCTGATGTAGATTTGAGTGCACATAATGTCCTGCTGCTGCAAACACAACTGACCCGAAGGAGCCGAAGGAACACGAACCTGTGTGAGGTTAAGGGGCACAGGTAGACAGTGTTGGGAAGGTGACTTTTAAAATGTAATCCCCTACAGATTACAGATTACATACTCCAGAATGTAGTTTATAACGGAATCCATTAAATGACTTAAAGTGAGTAATGTAATCTGAATACTTTGGATTACTTGATTTGCTGTAGAGAAGCAAAGACGAGGAAATATATTAGAAATTAAAAAGCCCAGACTTTACTGAACCGTATTAAAAATATTATTGATAGAAGAAGAGACACGTCCAAGCAGCAGGATTTAGTCTTGTTAAATCCTGTTTTAGACCTGGTTTAGACCTGGTTTAGATCTAGTTTAGACCTGGTTTTAGTCCAGGTTTAGTCCTGGTTTAGACCTGGTTTAGATCTAGTTTAGACCTGGTTTTAGTCCTGGTTTAGATCTAGTTTAGACCTGGTTTTAGTCCTGGTTTATCTAGTTTAGACCTGGTTTTAGTCCTGGTTTAGTGCTGGTTTAGACCTGGTTTAGATCTAGTTTAGACCTGGTTTTAGTCCTGGTTTAGATCTAGTTTAGACCTGGTTTTAGTCCTGGTTTAGTGGGTTTAGACCTGGTTTAGATCTAGTTTAGACCTGGTTTTTTAGTCTGGTTTAAATCTAGTTTAGACCTGGTTTTAGTCCTGGTTTAGCACTGGTTTAGACCTGGTTTAGATCTACTTTAGACCTGGTTTTAGTCCTGGTTTAGTTTAGACTGGTTTAGTCTGGTTTAGACCTGGTTTAGACCTGGTTTAGACCTGGTTTTAGTCCTGGTTTAGACCTGGTTTTAGTCCTGGTTTAGACCTGGTTTTAGTCCTGGTTTAGACCTGGTTTTAGTCCTGGTCTTAGTCCTGTATTAGATCTGGTTTAGCCCAAAACGTGAAAACAGGAAAATCCCTCTGTGTAATCCATTTATTTCAACAAAGTAACTGTAATCCAATTACCACTCACTGAAACAGTAACTGTAACTGAATACAGTTACTCATCATTTGTACTCTGATTACTTAAGTCTGGTACATGTAATCTGTTACTCCCCGACACTGCCCGTAGAGTCTGTGCCCGTGTGAGGTTTTCCTGGAGCTCTGCTTAATTACACAGATCTGACTGTACTTTGCCACAGCTTATGAAATTTACAAAGCGTAAATGCCTCATAAAGCCAAATAAAACTGTTTCTGCTCCAGCGCTGCACACGGATCTCTTCATTTTAGACTTTTGTAGGAGCAGGAGCGGGAGGGGCAGACGTGTTTCCGTGGCGACAGGTCTGAGTCCCGGTGTGAAAACTGTAATAATCATGTTTTAATCTCCCTTCTCTGCCTCAGAAAACCCGTTCTGGACTCAACCAGGTGCGTGACTGAATTCTTTATTTTTACATCGAAACCTCCTCCTCCCAAAATGACTTAAATGTGATTACTTAAGATAGTTTTCCCGTAATGTTTGGAAAATGTGAGCTAACCTGACGAGAGCGAAGTTTATAATTCTGTAATGGGAACAGGTCAAATTGTCTTTGTGTTGAAATCTTTGCCTGCTCCTTTTTGAATATATTTTCTTATCAGTGTTGGGAAGGTGACTTTTAAAATGTAATCCCCTACAGATTACAGATTACACACACCAAAATGTAGTGTACTTAAAGTGAGTAATGTAATCTGAATACTTTGGATTACTTGATTTGCTGTAGAGAAGCAAAGACGAGGAAATCGTTTCGTCTTTACTGAACCGTATTAAAAAGACACAGTCCTCGCAGCATGGTCCTGTTAAACCCTGTTTTAGACCTGGTTTAGACCTGGTTTAGACCTGGTTTAGTCCTGGTTTAGACCTGGTTTAGACCTGGTTTAGACCTGGTTTTAGACCTGGTTTAGACCTGGTTTAGACCTGGTTTAGACCTGGTTTTTTTAGTCCTGGTTTAGTTTTTAGACCTGGTTTAGTCCTGGTTTAGACCTAGACCTTTTTAGACCTGGTTTAGACCTGGTTTAGACCTGAGACCTGGTTTTAGACCTGGGTTTTAGACCTGGTTTAGTCCTGGTTTAGACCTGGTTTAGACCTAGACTGGTTTTAGACCTGGTTTTAGACCTGGGTTTAGACCTGGTTTAGTCCTGGTTTAGACCTGGGTTTAGTGGTTTAGACCTGGGTTTTAGACCTGGTTTAGACCTGGAGTTTTAGACCTGGTTTTAGACCTGGTTTAGACCTGGTTTTAGACCTGGGTTTAGTCCTGGGTTTTAGTCCTGGTTTAGACCTAGTTTAGACCTAGTTTAGACCTGGTTTAGACCTGGTTTTAGACCTGGTTTTAGACCTGGTTTAGACCTGGTTTAGACCTGGTTTAGACTTTTAGACTGGTTTAGTCCTGGTTTAGTCCTGGTTTAGACCTGGTTTAGTTTCCGGCAATGAGTGGAATTACTGGGGGGAAAAAAGGATTTAGCCCCAAATGTGAAAACAGGAAAATCCCGCTGTGTAATCCATTTATTTCAACAAAGTAACTGTAATCCAATTACCACTGAAACAGTAACTGTAACTGAATACAGTTACTCATCATTTGTACTCTGATTACATTACTCCAGTACATGTAATCTGTTACTCCCCAACACTGTTTCTTATTTTAACTGGGCTTTTAAAACTGTATATTTAAAACTCTGATCTGAAATAAATTAACACTAAATTAATCAATCAATAAATCAATAATATTCAATCAATCACTTTCAAATGAACTAACTCTCTTAATACTGACTCGATTAATTTTTAAATGGTCTATATTATGTTAAAACGTTGTGTCTTTGTCAAAAACAAACCCTGCAGATTTAGGCTGAGTTCTTCTCCCAAACTGAAAACACGCTGTTCCACCTTGTGATGTCATCATGTGGTGATACAGGAAGTGCTCCACTGTGTTTTTAAACTCCACAAACCTTCACTGGAATCATTTTGGATGATTTCGGTCCCGGAATGTGTCAATTTCTACTGAACTGAAAGCAAAAGGAACTGAAAACTTGAAAACTACCACTTCATGACATCACAAGGTGGAATGGAGCATTTTAAGTTTTGGAAATGTAAACAGAGTAATAATAAAGAGTTACTCAAACACGTGAATGAAACAAAACACAACTTCAGGTTTGTTTTTGAGGAGTAACAACATTAGAACACGGCTCAAAGGTGCATGGTTTTCAGATGCTTTTTTTCTGTGTAAATTTGTCTGGAATGTTCCACAGTTTGGCTTTAAACATTTCTATCTTTACGGAGACCGAACCAGACCAAGTCACAGGTCAGATCTGTGGAGAGGTGACCTCGCTCATAATCGGAATGTCTGTTTTTATGGGTACAGGGTTCCCACGGTCATGGAAATCCTGGAAATGGAAAATGTCATTTTTCAGGCCTGGAAAGTCATGGAATTTTGTAAATTCAATGAAAGTTTTGGAAAAGTCATGGAATTTTAGTATCTGTTTCACACAAATCCAGCGTTCTGTTAAGTTCTCATGAGGCTGTTCTGATTATTTCTGAACGTCTGCGCCTTTTTTTTTGTTTAAAAGAGACGACAATAAAAGCACTGACAGGATTTTTTTGGATGTTAAAAAACTATAATCACAAACCATAAAGTGAGTGGAAAGAGTTTAATATTTAGCCCTAAAAGTCTGATCAATTCTACACATGTAGGTGCTGTAAAGTCATGGAAAATTCAACTTTAGGTCATGGAAAAAGTCATGGAAAAGTTTTGAAATTTTGTCAGTAATGAAAAAGAGTGGGAACCCTGTAAGTATTTTTGAGCCGTAAAACCTGCACCTGTAACTGAATAAATGTAACGTAGAGCTGTTTAATGTCACACCGTGGAACATTCCAACGACATCTCCATAGAAACAAGCAGGAAAGTTACACAATGCACCTTAAAAGTCTCACGTTTTTTAAAAATAATCTCAGTGATTTTTGTGGGTTTCAGGTCTGTACGTCCCTGTGCTGGTGGGCTCCGCGCTGGGACTGGCTCTCGTCGTTTTATTCGCGTGCCTCGTGAAGAGAAAACGGTAAGACTCTCATCGGCAAAGAATAAACGCTTTGAATCTTTTTATAGTTTCGATAGCAGAACAGATTTACAGATAATGATCATATTTCCGTGTGCTCTAACCTGAAACGAACCCCACGCCGGACCCCAGCTGAAAACACGACTTGTTTTAGCCGCATTCTTCGCGTGAATCTCGGAGTTCTGTGCAGCTCTGTGGTTTTCTATAAACGCTGGAGCTTTTCTGGGTGCACGATGAGTAAGTGCATTTTCTGGGAATTATGCAAGTAAAAGTGAAGTGAACCGTTTTAGAGAGTTTGGAAAGCGTCTATCTCGAAAGTGTGGGTGTGGAGGATTTTACTAAACATAGTGACAAACACGGAGCAGAGAACCACAACAGGCAAATTAAACGGTGTCCCTTAGTAACTCACAGCTTGTTGTGTGACTCAGAACACGGTTGCTGGTTCAATTCCCGCTCCTTTATTGTATCTTGCATGTTACGCTATTTTCTGACCTGTTATCATGTAGTCAGTGTTGGGGAGTAACAGATTACATGTACTGGAGTTATGTAATCAGAGTACAAACTATGAGTAACTGTATTCAGTTACAGTTACTGTTTCAGTGAGTGGTAATTGGATTACAGTTACTTTGTTGAAATAAATGGATTACACAGAGGGATTTTCCTGTTTTACATTTTGGGCTGTATCCCCCCCTTTTTTTTGTTTTGTTGTTGTTGTTGTTTTTTTTCTTGGTAATTCCACTCATTGCTGGAAACTAAACCAGGTCTAAACTAGATCTAAACCAGGTCTAAACCAGGTCTAAACCAGGTCTAAACTAGATCTAAACCAGGTCTAAACTAGGTCTAAACCAGGTCTAAACTAGGTCTAAACCAGGTCTAAACTAATCTAAACCAGGTCTAAACCCAGGTCTAAACTAAAAACCAGGTCTAAACCAGGACTAAAACCAGGTCTAAACCAGGTCTAAACTAGGTCTAAAAACCAGGTCTAAACCAGGTCCAAACTAGATCTAAAACTGGTCTAAATCAGGTCTAAACTAGGTCTAAAACCAGGTCTAAACCAGGACTAAACCAGGTCTAAACCAGGTCTAAACCAGGACTAAATCCTGCTGTGTGGACGTGTTTCTTCTTCTATCAATAATATTTTTAATTTGGTTCAGTAAAGTCTGGGCTTTTTATTTTCTTTTATCAGATAAAACTTCTTATGTTACGATTTCCTCGTCTT